GTGTGCCGCCCACACGACACCTGAGCGTGTAGGGTCAGACCCGTGAGTGTTAGTGCACCCCGTTCCAATGGTGACCCCAACTTGATTTCCTAGTTGGGTATTGATTGAGCAATAGAAGAATCTTTGTCTGAAAGTCAGATAGATGGCAGACAGACAGATGGATGACAGAAGGACAGATGGATGATAGATAGAGAACGTTTGCAATGACTGAATGTGGTGAGGGCAACAAGTAAATGTTAACCCATTTCACTGTTTCAATAACTCTAATTTCAGACTCAACAGAACCAAGTCAGACACAAACATCAAAAGGAACAGAAATACAAGTCCCCACGGCTTCTGTCTGCTCTGCGGGGAGGGAGCCACGGCTGCGCGGACACGGCTTCCACCTGAAGCAGCCTGATTCCCGTCACCATGGGGTGTGCTGCATGGGCTCCACATGTGTGCGTCGGCCTGGGAACCCTCCTGGACTGGGCCTCAGGACACTCCCTCTCTCTTCAGGTCTTACATTGGGATCTCTTGGGACCTCTTTCTCTCACAAGCCAGGGTTGTGACAAGAGTCTCCCAAGCTGCCGTGGACATTCCAGTACAGTTATTCCAGCTTTTCAGAAGGGATGGTCTTTTAGAAGAGGGTGGTTCTGCCGCTCCTGAGTGGAATGGTCTGTGGTTCCCCCTGGGTGCCTCTGCTCTCCGCAGGCCAGATGGCCAGATGGTCTTCCTGAACGGAAGAAAGGTTCTACTGCAAAGTCCCTCCCGTGTCAGCTGGCTTTCCTCGGCTGTCAAATGCTAGAGGTCAATCAGCTTAACGAGAGAAAGGCTTTGTTTTGGCTCCTGGTGTAGGAGCTTTCCCCAATGGTCATTTGTCCCTGTGTCTTCGGGCCTGTGGTGAGGTACATCATGGCGGGGCTTGAGGTGGTCGAATCTGCTCACTCCTGGCATCTGGGAAGCATGGGGATGCAGGAAGGGACAGGGCCAGCATCTCCAGGGCATGTCCAGGGCGGTGACCCTGCTTCCACTGGCTCTCCTCCACCACCCAAGCAGTCCACACTGCAGCCCAGACTCTCACCACGGAGGCCCTGGGGACACTCTAGATCCAGTCTGAGCACCGACCTTTACTTCACTGCTCTTGACGTTTGTGTTCAGGTCTGTCCATGTTCCTACGCAGCCCTTTTCTGTAGTGGGTGCGTGTGTATTTAAAATTGCTGTGCGTCCTCTTGACAGGAGCATTCTGTCGGGACAGAAAGACACTGTCTCCAGAGCCGGTAGTAATTCAAAGTCTGTGGCATCCAGGGCACAGGACCGCCCTGCTGTCCTGTACTCACCACTAGGGCATCCTCTCCTCCCACCTCTATAATGGTGCCGTACAGAGCTCAGGTCTCAATGCTTCCATTTGTCTGCTCATGGTCAGTTTCCCCAGGCCTGCTCCAGGTAATTAAGCAAAGTGGACACTTGTCCTTTTCTCCACCATGTTCTCCTGCAATGACCACATCCTTCTACTCCTCAGTATTTATTGCCTGTCGCTTTTTTAGTGATCTGCTTTGGTCTTTTCCTCTTTCTCTTTTGCATATCTATTTAAGGTTTATTCTGTTTTCCTGACAGTGCTCAGTTATCCACAAGTGTGTTTAAATATATTTCACTTACTGTCCTTAGAACGGTTACTTTTACTTTCTGTTAGGCTGTTTGTCAACCCCCCTTTTTTCTGATTACTTGCAGGGAATTGCTGTGTTCTGGGTTATTTTGCTTGATTCCAGTTTTGGGCTGGTGTAAGGGCCACACAGTCACAGCTTCTGTCCTCGCGGCCGGTGTCTGCTTCTTACTCTTTCATCACCTCTGGTGTGTTTGAATCTCAATTAGAATTAATTTTTATTCATATACTTGAAATTATTTAATGATAATAATAATTCATGGTAGTTATAGTATTAGATATAACACATTTATTATTTTCAATAAAACATGGAATAATTAGATCAAGCTAAAGTATCTATCATGTCAAATATTCAACCTTTGGAAGGGGACATTTAAAGCAATATTGGAAGACATAAAATTCAAATTTTAGCAATACTCACCACACTTTCCAATTGATCTCAACAAAAAAATTGAACTTTTTCCTCAAAGCTAACACCAGCTTTGTGTTATTCCTCCTGTTTTGTTATTTTTGCCCATAATTTCCTTGGCTACTCAAGGTTTTTGTGGTTTTATATAAAATTTAATTTTACATATCTATAAAAATGACATTAGAAATTTGTAGGGATTACATTGTATCTTCAGATTTTTAATATGGTAATTTTAACAATATTAATTCTTCCTTTAATTCACAGAACATTTTAATTATGTATTCCTGAACTCCTTCTCTGCCATTCCTTCTGCTGTGCTGGCCATGGGTTCGAATCAGGTAGCATCTTGATTGGTTTGGGGCACTCTCTTCCCTTGTCTTTTCATGTTGCTGTGTGTCTTCCCTTCTAGCTCTGTGGATCTTAGATGTTACTCTTTTACCCTATAGGCTTATCTCCTGTAGGGATACCTCTCCTTTGAGGTGAAGGACAGTGTTATTAGATCCCAATATAAACAATATACACCCTAAAAACTGATGTTTGCCATTAAGACACTTACAGTTTGGTCACAATGTCCAGAAATGGTGAATTCAATTGTTATCTACAATATACTCAGTAGATTTGTAAAAGGGTTTACAGTTTCTGATGGTGGACAAAGAACCAGGGGCGAGGAGTAGGATGATATGCTGAGGAGGTAGGGGGTGAGGAGATAGAATTGTTGTATCTTAGGAAGTGTGAAAGAGAAATTTAAAGAGGAAGGTTAGTAGCAGGAGAAGGGAGAGGAAATAAATTTGGGTAGACAAGTAAGTGGGAAGACAGTAGAGTACATAAAACAAACACACATTCATATTAAGAAAAATAAAAATGTTAAGATAGTAGAAACTGATGGGAAAAAAGAAATAAAGAGTATACAACACAGGTGTAATATGCTAGTCAGAAGTCCCAGTCCTCGGTATCCTAATTCATGCAAAACACTTGGTTTCACATATGTTGGGGATGTGAGGGTGGGAGAATAGAGAGGGAGAGGAAAAAAATCTTGAAGGAAGACACAGGGATTGTTTGGTGGAGATCAGTATCTTTCCTGCTTCCCTTCTCATCCAATAGGTGGGGTCGTCTGTTGTTAACTTGTATCTCCACCCTATGAATGGTGAAGAAACTGGGTAGAAACTGGGTCCCTGGCCAGCCAGAGTTCCAAACTTGGAGTTGCCCCTACTGAAGATGGTGATGAAGGTGACCCAAGATGGAGGCGCCTGCTTTCAGCGGTGGGCTGTCAGGTTATGTGGGGGGAGCCATGATGGCATTGGACGACGAATTCAGAAACGACTCTGTGGTGTGCAGTGTGTGGCTGTTGGCTGACTTCAGAGCCTGTGGGAAGTTCTGGGGAGCAGGCCACCACGTGTAGGGGACTATCTCCGATGCTGCAGGGTTCCAAGATGGTGGTGATGGGGCAGCCCCACATAGGTAGATGGGGATCCACACAGGAGTGGTGGCCAGATTCCTGCATGTGAGAAGCTGCCAGGTGTCCTGTAAGGGAGTGGTATCAGCGATTTCTGCTCAGGTGAGTGGCTGAGAGTTCTGCGCAGGTGCTGATGGTCCCACTTGGTTGCCCAGTAGTCCTGGTGGGCCAGTAATTGGGAGACCTACGCTGATGCGGAGGCCTAGAGCCCTGTATGGGCACGGTGGCCATGTTTCCAGCCAGAGAGCAGGAATATCGCTTGCAGAGAAGCAGTATTGTCACTACTTGAGACCCAAGTCAGGGAGCGACACAGAATGCTGCCTCCCTCCAGCCCGCCATCTTGGATCTCGCCCAATATTAATTCTTCCAAGCAAAGAACACAGGATACTTTGCAATGCATTTTTTTTATTGTTAAATTTTATTTTGGGTTGACACATCACAATCGTACACCAGAACTTCAGGGAGACACCTTATTTCCAAACCATAACAAGTAGTCTACTTTTCTCTTTTGTGGAACCTCCATAGTCATTCATAAGAGTTATGCTGCTAATTTACTTTTCTGAGCAGAGGCTGTTTGGGACATAATTGGGATGCTCAGAATTGGAAAAAAAAATATTTTAAAAAATAAATAATTGCAGACCCAAAGTGGTGTAATTAACATAAGTAGTAGTCTGGAAAGAAAGCTTTCCTGTTTCTACAGATGACAGAAGGACAGAATGAAGCAGAAATGACAGCTCTCTAGTCACAGTCGATGAAAATGCTGAGACTCGGGGATGGGGAAAGCATGATGACAAAGTCACACAGGTGCACATGGTGGAAGAGTGTGGCAGATGATGACCAGGAAGCAGAGAAAGAGAGAGAGAGAGAGAGAGAGAGAGAGAGAGACTCCACTTACCAGACAAAAATATATACCCCAAAGCCACGGCCCCAGTGTCCCACGTCCTCCAGCCACACCCACCTGTGTCAGTTACCACTCAATCCCATCAGGTGATTGATTCACTGGTGGGGTTAGGGCTCTCACAATCCAATCATTTCCCCTCTGAACCCTCTTGCATGTTTCCCACATGAGCTTTTGGTGGACAGCTCATATCCAAACCGTAACAGGGAGCATGGCAGGGTGAGCAGGTGAGCAGCCAAGGGGAAGAGGTGGAAGGAAGACACATAGATGGATGGTTAGGACAGATTCAGACTCAGGAGCAGGTGGAGGCTGAGGTATGAGTACATGCTCGGTGGGCAAGGGCCCAGGTGAACTTAGGATAGCCCAGCTTTCGTCCTGTCCACCCAGGATCAACAGTCCTCCTTTCCTCTCCAAGACATTCACTATTGGATGCCAAATGTTAGGGTCGCAAAGTTTTGAGATGGAGATACACATAAATGGATAGGTCAGCTGAAGTTACATGTGGGTGCACAGACAGGCATTGCAGACGTTGAGGGGCAACTATTCTATGAATTCTTCCCATGACTTCACTCTGGGCAGAGCATGGAGTCACTCTGTTCTAATGCTCTGCTTGCCGTGAACATGCTCCTCCACATAGGACCCTCATGAGTGCTCCCTTGACCTCTGTGTTTCTCAGGCTGTAGATGAGGGGGTTTAGCATCGGGGTGATCACCCCGTAGAGCATAGAGACAAGTCTGTCTCTGGAGAGGGAGTCTTGGCTGGAGGAGCGGCGCATGTAGGTGAAGATGGCTGTGCCATAGAAGAGGCAGACCACCAGGAGGTGGGACGCACAGGTGGAGAAGGCTCTGCGCTTGCCTTCTGCTGACTGGATCCTGAGGATGGTGCAGATGATGTACACGTAAGAGACTAGGGTGGTCAGGAAGGCGCTGGTCCCAAAGATGCCTCCTATCACTAAGGCAAGCATCTCTGCCATGAATGTGGAGGAGCAGGAGAGGGCCACAATCTGTGGGATGTCACAGTAGTACTGGTTGACCAGGTTGGACTTGCAAAAATACAGGCGGAAGGTGGACACAGTGTGCAGGAGAGAGTTGAGGAACCCAGCTGCCCAGGTCCCACACACCAGCTGGACACAGCGCACCTGGGTCATGATGAGAGCATAACGCAGAGGAAAGCATATGGCCACGTAGCGGTCATAAGCCATGACGGCCAGCAGGAAGACTTCGGTCCCCATCAGGGCCACCAGAAAGTAGAGTTGCACTGCACACCCAAGGAAAGAAATGCTGTTCTCCCCGCTCAAGAGGTTGTGCAGCATCTTGGGGACGGTGGTCGATGAGCAGAAGATGTCCAGGAGGGACAAATTTGCCAGAAGGTAATACATGGGAGTGTGCAGCTTTCGCTCCATTCCAAGGGCCAAGAGAATGGCCCCGTTTCCTGCCAAGGTGATCTGGTAGATGACGGCAAAGACCACGAAGAGAGGGTAGCGCACCTCGGGGAGGTCGGAGAGCCCCATGAGCACAAACTGTGTCACTGTGCTGAGGTTGCCCACATCCATCTGCTCTCTGCACAGAGCCCTCCTGGAGGGAAGGAAGCCGACAAGCCCGGTTATGTCTAGAGAGCAGGGAGCCCGGGGCTGGGGAGCTCTGGGAAGCAGTGGGCATGTGGTGGACATGACCTGTCAGCCCTACTGACCAGGAGGTGCAGCTATTTGAACCCCTGTTGGACACATGTCCTTTACAGTACTTATGATATTTCTTAAAATATTCACCCTTGGTTCCTTACCAAGAGGAAATCTTCTGAATAGATGGAGAAATTTAAAATCTACCTTCTCCATCAAACATTTGAGGGGTTTCCGCTGTTCTGGGGATTGTAGAATTCAGTGGAAATCCACCTTCCCTTTGACACCTGCTTTGTTCTGCTTTGTATTATTTCCAAGTGTTTATTTTTATAGTTTGTCTCAATACTAAGACCTTGGCATAGGAGCTGTGCTTTGTTCCTTGGTGTGTGCACTTCAGTAGACACTAGGAATTAGCACTTGAAAGGATGGAGAGAGGGTGGGGTGATAAGTGGTGCACGCCCTGCTCTGACAGGCTCTTCCCATTCTGAAAAGATCAAAGGAAGGATGCTTCTTCATCTACAAGTCATCATCACTCAAACATAAACATAACTTAATAAAATTAAACTCACCCTGAAAACATAAACCGACTTGTTTGAAAGTGTCTGTCTGTCCCCATTCAGGAAATTATATCATATATATATATATATATATATATATATATATATATATATATATATGTAAACACATATATACTCAACATTGTTCACACATACCTTTTGAATATAAAACTTGCATACTTAGCCACATGCTTAATATATTTAGGGAAATAAGGTGGTTTAAATTACATATGCTAGAACATGTTAGTTTTATTTATTCTTATTTAATTTTCTAGTTTCACTAATGTGTCTCATCAGAATTCACATAATTGCAATTCTTAAAACTATTTACAACATGACTTTAAATGAAGGTCTACGTGTCCACACTTGTGTGGGGGTTTTCTATCCCTTTGAAAACTGGTTGTTTTTTGTTTTCTTTGTTTTTTTAATTAATTAATTAATTTTAATATTTTTAGTTGTAGATGAACAGGATACCTTTATTTTATTTATTTATTTTATGTGGTGCTGAGGATTGAACCCAGTGTTTCACATGTGCTAGGCAAGCACTTTACTGCTGAGCTACAACCCCAGCCCCTTTATTTTTTAACACACACATTTGACTGGAAATTCAGAAAAGACCGCTAGAACATAAAGTGCAGAAGTCCCTGTCTGTGACCCACCCCCTTCTTTCTGCATTGCCTGATAAGACGATTGATTACTTCTTTGCTCAGGTAAAATGCATAATTAATGCAACTCATACACAGTGATTTATTTATACAAATGGAATGAAACCACCTCCTCACCCTTTCTCCCTGCAGGATTTAAACAGCAATCATGGATCCTACTTAACACATCAGTCCTCCCTCCTCATGAAGCATCCACAGTGAACCATAGGTACATAGCACTCTCCATGATGAGCTCTCTATCTCGTGGAACATACTGAAGAACATTGCTGTGATAACCATAAAGTCCTTGTGTATCATTATGCAGCTTTGAAAAAAAAAAGAATTCCACTGAATGAAAGAAAATGTTAAAACAGGAAACATCTACTGGCTGGGGTTGTGGCTCAGAGGGTGAGTGCTTGCCTAGCACGTGGGAGGCACTGGGGCCCACCCTCAGCACCACATAAAATAAATAAATAAAATAAAGGTATTTGTGTCCAAATACAACTAAAAATATGTATTAGAAAAAGAGACCATCTACTGTGACAATTCTAAAATTCTCCAATGTCCATGAGTCTATAGAGATATGTAGTTTCAGCTGGCCCACCTTTTTATATGTAACACTTTGAAAACAAAATAGAAACATAAATTAAATGAAGCACTTTTTATTTCAAGAAAATTAGTGTCTTCAGAGAGTAAATATTTATTTTGTATTAAATACTTGTTTTTCTTTATATACACACTGAACAATTTGACTGGTTTTAAAACTCAGGGTTATGAGACATGAGTCTATAATATCTTCATAACCATGAACCAACTTTCAGTTACACACTCAGCTTGTCCTCGCAAAGATAATAAATCTCCTTAAATTTTGCACTTGAATGTTTAAAATGTGTTCAAGCTTATGATATAGAGTCCAGATTTTTTCCTATGAGGATCTTCCTACTAAATTAAACACAATTCAATCCTAGGCATTTGCCATCTGATCAGAAGCACAACCTACAGGTTGCTAATAATAATGGCTGGGGATGAAGCTCCATGAACTTTCCCACTTACCTGAGGATTCCAGAGCCCTGCACACAGAATCGGGTTCGTCCTCAGGACGGGCATGCCATGTGTGATCTGTGGTCACTTGGTGAAGCGGGGACGGGAGAGAGTGAAGGACACGGGCAAAGATGGGCTTGCTGGAGTCAGAGCCAGGGGCGTGGTGGCTGTCAGGGAGAGGACATGCAGCCAGGATCAGTCCACTAGGAGCTACCCAGAAGCCTGTCACCTTAGCAGTTCTCTGCCTGCCCTTGGGCACATGCTGTCAGAGCACTGTGAACCATACGTACAGCTTTTCTCTTCAGCATGGGGTCACTTTTGTTTTCCAATTTATACAGAAAAGAAAAGCATTGACTAAGCACAAACAACCCCTGATAGATGCTAAGATAATTTAAAACACATAATTCTCAGTATAATGATATCAGAAAACATTACATTTAAACTTTCTTTAGCAAAGAAGAATTTTCTTTAAAGCTTTATTGCCAAGCAACAAGATATATAGCTTCCCTTTTGACTCCGTGGGTTGGTACTCAGTAAAAAAATTTTAAAACACTTCTAAAGGGTACCTGCCACCTGGTTGGTGGCATCTCGGTGCCTGTTAACTCTCACGGTCCCGTTTCACAGGGACACACACTCAGGACTGTGGGTCAGAAACAGTGTCTAGAGACTTCTGTGCCTTACATGCAAAGGTGGTAAATGCACAGTGTGGGCATGTTTTATGAGCTGAGCTGAACTATTTTTACACATGTATTCAGGTACTCTAAATAATTGAAAATGTTCTCTTTGCTTGTTTAATGCTGTTTTAACCGGCGTCTTAAATGTGTGCATTTTCACCCTATATTATCTTCATAAAATCCAACATCTTACCATTCAACATCCAGAATTGAACACACAATTTTCCTACCTTTCCTGGTCCACAGGTGTCCTCAGCAATACCAAATTTCAGGAATAAAGCCAGGTGACCAGAGAACTAAAAGCACATCAGTTAACCCAAGCCACTCCTCAGCTCTAAGTGAGGCTCCTGTTCAAAGTCACACTGTAGTTTATAGTGTCCCCACCTCCCCTATGACGACAGTGCAGACCCAGGTGGGAATACCTGCACAAGTCCCAGTTACTAATGCAGTCGTGGGCAATCACAGCTGAGCAATTTCACATAGGTGTGAAAATGGACCTGAACTGTGGAGCAGTGATGAAGGGTTTGTTTTAATTGCCTAGAATGAGAGAAAACAAAACTTTCCCCACTGATTGTATGACCAGACAAAAGTGAAGAAGAAATTGATGTTTTCACAATAGTTTGCTGTAAGCAGAGTAATCATTCCTGTAAAATATCATTTCACTACCAAATTGGTATATATTTCATTCATGTCAGATAGGGTGAACTTTAATACAATCTTATGCACAAACATTCATTTTTATGTTGTTAAGATTATTTACCATAAGCATGGAAAACTGTTGTTAGACACAAAGTGGTTGGAATTTCAAATTGATTTAAGCCTGTAATCAATAAATCAATTTTCTTATAGTATACTGATTAGAAATTAAAAGAATCCGTATGAATAAATTTTGTATCCACACGTATACAGGTAAATGCATAGAAAAATCAATATATTACAGTTAGTAAGTCCAGGTAAAGGAAATATAGGTGTTTTCTGTATCATTTCATTTTTTAATATAACTTTGAAACTTTTAAAAATACAGTTCTATTAAAAAATCAAACACAAACATGAAAATAATACAGGGAAAAATCTGTCTTGCGTTCCACCTGCATGTCCACATCCTTAGTAACTAAACTGCTGACTAGTGTGAAAAGAGCCCACTCTGAGCTCTATGTGGAGTGTGTGAGTGTGTGTGTGTGTATGTGTGTGTGTAGAGACATATACACATGTATTTTATCCCACATGCTTTCCTTCACTGAATAGTCAAATATCAGTTTTAATATTGGTCAAGAACTGGAAAATAATGAACTGTTCTGAATTATAAATTATATTCTGAATAACCTAGCCAAATTCTTAGCGACAGAAGATGGAGCGGAGGTTGGTGAAGGCCTGTGGAGGGAGGAATCGAAAGTTGTTGAGGGTTTGGGCTTTCTGTCTTGCAAACTGAAGAGTGTTTGCACTTCCAGTGTGCATAACACTAGTGATCTTTAGACTTAAAACTGACAAAGACAGAATGTTTTATTTTAGGTGCATTTAATCATAATTCAAAAATTAAATTGAAAACACAATCCACATAGTGGAAAAAAATTGCAAAATACCTGGCTGATAAGGGAGTGGCAATTAAGGTACACGGAAATTCTTATACTTATAACTCAAAATGCCCAGCTAAAAGTAGGCAAAGATCTGAATGGGCGTTTTTCAAAGGAAGATTTACAAATAGTTAAAAGCACATGAAAAGATGCTGCACTTGATTTACAGAAGATTGCAAATAGAAGCCAAGATGAGGTGTTCCTCCACACCAAGGGGAATGGTGAGAATCAAGTGAGATGACAGAAGCTCTGGCAAGATGTGGAGAAACTGGAACCATACCCGCCTCTCACAGTGACCTCAAATAGCTCCTCCATTTGGGAAAATAAGGTAGCAGTTTCTCAAATGATTAAATGTAGAGTTATCATGAAAGAAACTCACGAAGTCCACTAGTAGTGAGGAATCCCACTCCCAAGAGGAAGGGAAAGAGGTCCACACAGAGACCCATAGGTGAGTGTGTACAGCAATGTCATTCACGGTGTTGACGACTGGAAAGCAGGCAAGTATCAGCAGTAGATCAGTGGATAAACTAGTACCCCCCCCACACACAATGGAGTAATGCTTGCAAGCTACACCTCTGATGAGGTATCACGAACCCATTCCTAAGAAAGAAATAATCCCATAAATGGGCAAAGGCCTGGCCAGCCATTTCTGAAATGAGACACTCAAATGGCCGACAGATGCACAAGAAAGAGAAGCTCACCACCACTGACAACAAATTGAATCCCCCGGACACTCCCTCATGCAGGGCAAAACTGCTGACACCAGGAGGAAAGAGTTTCCGTGTACTCAGGGGTGAGCGCTTGCCTAGCACAAGAGAGGCCCTGGGCTCCATCCCCAGCACTGTGAACAAACAGAGAGACCATATGTGTCCTCAAGTGGAAGAAGGAGCCCTTGGGTCCTGTTGATGAGAAGACACCTTAAGACAGTCGTAATGGAAAACAGCACGAAAGTTCCTCAGGAAGCCTCAGCCAGGAGCACACAAGGTCCAGTAACCCCACTCCTGTGGGAGCCGGAAGGAGCTGAAATCAGTCTGGGAGGGGACGTCTGCCCTCCGTGCTCACCGCAGTGTGTTCACGACAGAGAAGATACAGATGGACCTCGGCCTCCACCATCCAATGAACAAGTGGACCTGAGGTGTAAACACACAGTGGAGAACCTCCAGCCTCAAAATCAGGAAATCCTGTCACTTACAACAGCACAGTGACCCTGGAGGACACCATGCTGACCGAGGCAAACCAGGCACAGAAAGGCCAAGCTGTAGATCCTGCTACATCCTGGAATCCAGAAGCGTCAGATTCCAGGAGAGGGTAGGACAGGAGACGGGGGGTGCCATGTGATGTGACATCCAGGCATTTTAGGCAAAGTTTGCAAACACTCAGATGCACAAAACTTAACACTACACCATCATGAGACTTGACAAACAAGCCATCCTGTAACTAGTTAACTCCCCAGGAGAGTTTTATGCAAAATGCTTTGTATCCAAGAACCAAAATTAGTAGAAGAGAGAAACTATTATTTTCTTCTGAAAATATCTTTAATTTCTGCCTTAGGACAATACCATGAATTCTTGTATATTTCCCTTGCTCGTTCTGCTATTCTGGGCTGGTTTGGCTGAATGATAAGAAAAATATTGCTTTGCACTTATACCCGATTCAAAAGGGAAGGACTATTTTAATCACACTTTTATAGAATTGCTAGCATTCTTCATTGATCCTATGCCAACATGCAACAATTATGATTTCTAAAAGAATGGTTGCAATTTGGAAACTGAGTGTGTTCACGATTAATGAACTTTCTGTGTTCTGTTTTAAGTTTATTTAGCTTTTGAAACAACCCATGCAGAATAAAGAGAATAAATTAATTTTATAGCCAGACATGAATTGGAAAATTTATTGAATCTCTTGCGATATACAAAACATTTTTAGCACTTCCCTTTATTAAGTGTCACACACAAAGTGCTTCTAAAAATATTAGGAATTTAATGACTCTCAGTGGTATGGCCACAGAATCCTTGCCAGTTAGCAGCTGGAGGAAACTCCGCCTCCTTGGAGGTTGACACAGGTCTCCAGAGGTCAGCAGAAGCATGACCCTGGCTGTTCTTATTAAAGATCTGGTGTCCCTATACATCATTCAGCAGCAGGGCTGTCCTCGGGATCTGCGCATGAGTCTCACTGAGAAGCAGCTTCTATATTTCACTCCCTGACCTCATCCCTCTCCTTAAATTATGCAAAAGCAATATTTCTGCAAGGGAAGTCAGCTACGTGGTCCTGGCTCACAGGTAAGCTTGTGCCTGTCATTTGTGCATTTCTCTTGGCAAGTAAATCACAGAAATAGCTTGGTAGACTCCAAAATCTAAAGCATACTTAAATGTTTCCACTTCACAGATGTACGTGAGTTCACAGAATAGAGTTTTAGATTTCTGTGTTTATTTTAGGCAACTAGTTCTCTCTCTCTCTCTCTCTCTCTCTCTCTCTCTCTCTCTCTCTTTTTCCTTTTTTGTATCAGAGATTGAACTCAGGGGTGCTAGGGCCTCTTTTAGTTGCTGAGGCTGACCTTGAACTTGCCATCCTCCTGCCTCACCCTCCGAGCCACTAGCGTTACAGGCATGCACCACTGTGCCTGGCAGAGGCAACTAGTTCTTAGAATGCTCCCTGAAGGCCTTGTACGTGCACTGTCCAGGTCAAGGGGCCTAAGCCAAAGTGATTGAAAAATTCCCTTGGAACAGAGCAGCAGGCCCCATGAAGGAAATGTTTCCTGAGCTTGATTCAGAAGGTCAACCAGGAAATCTATATGCAGAAGAAAGCTATGATGCCATTTCATGGAGGTCTAGTCATACAAGCAAAAGTAGTGTTTAAAATGGCTATATATATATATATATATATATATATATATATATATATTATTCCGAGGTACCTAGGGTGGCTATTATGATGAATGATTTTTATAAAGGCTGGATTTATGAGGCATTAACATGATAATGCAGGTCATTTATATATCCTGTTGTATTCAAGTATTAACAGTGGTGGGGAATTAGCAACCCGGTGTATTCTATTGCCCTTATTTTAAAACTGTGAACCAAGTAATTTCCAAGTATCACTGCACACATGCAGGGGAGTGGGCAACCTGAACTTTCTGTACTGCACAGTAGTCAGGAGGCCTTGCAGGTGCACCTTGAAGGGTAGAATGTGAGGTGAGGTTAGCACGGGCAAATGTGAGCATTCACCTGGACCAAAGAGACAGCGGACAATCTGAAGAACCAAGAACATGACAAGACTTCTACTGGCCCCTGCTAGGGTGTCACCTGGTGAAGGACACTGAGAACAGAGTGTGGTTTGCAGCTGCGACCTACGGGGCGGTCGGTATCCACCTCACCCACCCACATGGGCTTCTGGCTAAGAACATTCTCTGATCGTGGACTCTCTTCACCTGGTAAAAGGAGGCTGATGGAGAAACTGTGTACAATCAAAGTAATTGGCATAAAATATTTGCTAAAACACTAAAAAATCATATCAATATATCGGGGTATGCACATCGTTACTTTTATGCATATAAAGGTAGAAAAATCATAAATGCTTTTCTGATGGCAAATAAGTTACATATAAAGTGTTTTAAAAAGGCAAATGCTAACATTTTTATTAGTATTCTCTCTCAATCCTGGATTTTTTAATTGATGAAAATAGAGTCATGCTGCGATCAGATCTTACCATATTTTAGTCTTGAGAAGTTAAGGTATCAACAGATTGTTTATGATTTGAAATGCTTCAAAAGGAGTGCAGGTAAGAAATTGAATTTGAGACGGTTCCTTGAGAACAAGGGTATTTAGCAAAAGCCACGAAACAAGCCGAGCAAGGTCTGGAGGAGGGCTGCCCTCAGGGGACTAGATTCCTGGCCCAGGACTCCCTGGTGAAGGTGAGGAGGAGGGGTAGGCAAGGGAGCTGGCCACACCTTGGCAACCAGAAGCGGACGTTAGGTGCTGGATCAGACCAGCTCTTCACGGTGATGGGCTCAAGCCTGGGTTCAAGGACAGTGGAAGTGAAGGGGCTGATCCGCCTACCTGGTCTCCCTTAGATCCACTCACCTCCAGGGGAAGCTCAGATCCACCCCCTGAGCTGGCTATGGAACCGCTTTCCAGAGAAGCCAGCCACCGCTCAGGGGTTCAGGGCATGCTCAAGGCAGAGGACAACCCAGCAGCTTTTGAGAATGTCTGGGATAACCCCTCAGATGGAGGGAAGGGGGATCCTGATCACACCCCGCCTCAGAGTGAGGGTTTAGAAAGCCGTTCTACACCACAGAGTAGATGTATCAACAAGTGGAAGGGGCGTGGGACTGGGTTTCATTTTGAATACTTCATGTGCTTGGTTCTCTCATCCTAGGAGGATTAGAAAGAGTAGGGTATCAGTAGATTCGGGGAAGAAAATCCAGGCAGAAGTAGAGCATTCACCTGACCTCAATGCCTTACTCCACCCACCTAGGTTGTGTGTCTTCGGCTGTGGCATCCTATCCTTGGCCTGTGGCTCTGGGGACAGCTCACTAGCAGGCATGGACAACGTCACCTCCTTCACCTACTTCCTCCTGGTGGGCATCTCCAGCTCCCGGGAGCTCCAGGTTTTGCAAGGTCTGCTGTTCCTGGTGATCTATCTGGGAGCCTTGATGGGGAATCTTATCACCGTTGCTCTTATTGTGACAGACACACGCCTTCACGCTCCAATGTACTTCTTCATAAGCAATCTGTCCCTCTTAGACCTTGGCAGCATCTCAGTGATTGTTCCCAAATCCATTGTTAATTCCTTGACAGGCCGTCGGGCCATCTCACTGCAGGAATGTGCTGCACAGATCTTCCTTTACATACTTTTTGCCACTGTAGAGTTTGCGCTCCTTGTGGTCATGTCCTATGACCGCTACGTTGCCATCTGCCACCCTCTGCACTACGGGCTGGTGGTCACGCCGCGCATGTGCATTCAGGCCGCCGGCGGCTCCTGGGCCTGCGGGCTGGTCTACTCTGCCATCCACACGGGCTCCATGTTCAGGCTTCCCTTTACAAAGACCAACCTGATCCACCAGTATTTCTGTGATATGCCTCAGATTTTGAGGCTCTCATCTCCCGACGTCCAGTTTTCTGAGTTCGTCATCATTGCCGCAAGTGCTGGCCTCGTGGTGGTGTGTGCCGTCTTCGTCTTGATGTCATATATCAACATATTCTCAACCGTGCTCAAGATCTGTTCGGCGGAAGCCCGCAGCAAAGCCTTATCCACCTGTGTCCCACAGCTGGCGATTCTCCTCCTGTTTGTGATTTCTGGGTCAGTGGCTGTCTTAGGGCCCGTGGCAACGGAAGGATCCCTTAAAAATCTGCTGACAGCCATGTTCTACACCATGGTCCCCCCCTTCACCAACCCCATCCTCTACAGTCTGAGGAACAGGGAGATTAATGCTGCTCTCAGTAGGATGTTCAACAGGCATACCGAGTTCCCAATCTAAGATTTTCTTAGCTAACAACAAATATCAATTTATCACTAGAAAGCAGTCTGACTTATGTTTGATTCTCGTCAGTCGTGTTATACGTTTGCTGTTTACACTTGTGATGGTGGACTACACAGTTAGGTCTTCATTTTCTTGCTCAACGCTATCTTGTAAGTGCAGCTTCCCGAAACACTGAGGCCCAAGGCCAGGCCTTGTGAATGCCCACGTGAGCAGGTACACGTGCTTTTCAGAGAATTCTGGGAACTGGGTGTTGCCACCCTGGAGGAGCATGTGAGAGGCTGGGTGGGGAACTCCCACTGTTCGCCCTCACACTTAGGCTGGAGCAGAGATAAGTGATTAGAGCAGGTGACGGTGGCAGGTCGACAGAGTGCCAGAGAAATGGATGGCGATGGTTGATCTAAAAGGGCACACTTGCTAACTCCCAGCTTGGTTTTGGTTTCTGATTGTCAGATAGTTCACATAAAGTCACCCTGATCCTGCTCTGACTCAAGGTAATGGGATGTCTGGCAATCGGTGCCAAGGTGCCTTGTTCTCAGGGTGGAGGAGCGTTGGCCAGGATAATAACACTGACCTCCCTGGCCAGAGACTGTGGAAGCCAACACCCTCCAGGGCTGGGTAGCTCATCCAATTAGGACCCGTGTGCACAGGCCAAGATGGCCCAAGGGTGCCTCTAGGTCCTCAGCATGTCACAGACTCTCACTATGACTGCGAATCTTCTCCAAACCTGGGCTTTGCTCAGACACTTATGGGTAGAATCATACGGTAGGGATTTAGGGGTCTGATCCAGAGCTCAGAGGTGGTGCATAGGTGGGATTCCCCAGGAACGTCTCCTTAAACCCCAGTAAAACCTGGGACTCAAAGGAGTCAGAGCCATCAGTCTCCTCTCTGAGCCAACCTACACTCTCCTTGCTTTGTTTCTTTCTTTTCTAATAAGCTTTGCTATACTGTTACCAACTCTTGCATCTTGGTCAAAATCTTCTCTTGTGAGAAGACAAGCGCCCACAACACAAAGCCCTCGCTGGTAATGCAGGGAGACCCCTAAGCAGGGAGGAGATCAACACCGAGACCCTTTCCAGACCCCTGAAGTCTGCTTCCCCCAGGCTCCCAAATCCATATTGCTTTGCTCAATGAAAAACAGGACATAAACCACCCACCCTCAGAGAGATTGTAGTTGAGAAGCTTTTGGTTTCTTCCTGAGCTCTGAATGAAAAGATGCCCTGCTCCTTTCATTCAAACATGTGAGTAATGAGGAAAAAGGATTCAGAACATAGAACAGAGACAGATGAACCCTGGGATTGGAATTAACCTGGAAAGCAGCAGATAAGGAATGCTCGCCCGGCTGGGTGCGCTCTTCTTGTCAGGTGGGACACACAAATCCACGCTCTCCAGATGGATGTAGTTTTACTTTTCTGATGCACAAGAGCTGAGCCTGCGTCCTGATGACTAAAATGCATATTAAGGACTTTTTGTTTCCAACTGAATCACCAAGTGTCCTCTTTGTAGTTCAGAAGCGTACGGAAAGACTCGGCATATAGGAACCCAGCTCAGTTAATGCAGCCTGGAACCTGACAGCCGGCCCTCCAGGACTGTGTTGTCTCAGAACTTATTCTTCAGTGTGGAAGCCACAGCAAGAATGTGGGCCTCATGAACTTCTCAGCATCCAGATGCGACCCTAGTGACCATCTGAGCTTGGTTCACACTCCTCTAATCCCTGAAATAGCCCCACACTTTCAATTTCATAATCGACAAATGTTTTTTCTTCAGCTTTATTTATATATACGTGACAATTAAAATTGCATGCATGTGATTGTAGGACTTATGTGTTCATTGTGAAATATTCACCACAATCAAGCTAATCAACATATCCATATTTCTTCTCTAAATCCATTTGTACCTGGGTCATTTGAAGAGATTTCCAAAGAAAACACATCACTGTCAATTACAGTCAAATAACAGTCTTACAAAGTTTGGGTTTTATCTTTATTATTCTTTGCAGGTGTGGATTTGCATTAGCTTTACCCCATTTCTTCCTTTCTATTTAAATGTATATGTAGATTTTTCCACCCAGGTTTATTCTCCTCCAGATATCTGAATATACAGATAGATGTATTTCTAATCCCCAGGGTTAATAAAAAAAGAAAAATTCTATTCTGATGACCCTTCCTTTTGACTCTAGCCCTAGGACACAGTAGTATTGTGTTGGTGGGTTTGTGAAATACCACATTAGCATTTCTGATTGTGTTTTCAGTTATTGTAACATCACAAGTTAGGTTTCGTCTATGTTGAAATTCAAGCCTTCTGGGGAAATTTTTCCTAGATATATTTTTTTACTTGTTTATTTAATTTTTAGTTGACAAATAGCAAGTATACATGTATTTGTGGGATGCGATTTACCACCAAATCCATTACCTGCTGCATTTATCCTTTGGGGGAGTAAAACATTCAAGATGTACTTTTTCAGCAATTTAAAAATAAATTACAAATGAACCTGAATACATTAACTCATCAAAGTGACCCTTATTATCCACCAACCGTTGCCATCCCTCCCTCTGGACACACAAGCCTCGGTCACACCCCTAGACTCTGTCCTCGCGGGTGGTCCAGGAGCCTCTTGTCCTACGGCTCCTGCCCCAGCGTGTGCCCCTTGCCTCCGTCCACATCAGGGGCCACCTTCACCCTCCAGCCCTGGCTGTCCCTATGTGTGAGGTCAACCAAGCTCCTAGCTTCTCTCCCATGATTCAGCCTCCCACGGATTCAGCCTTTGATCCAGCGGCGCCCACGGGAACCCGGGGTGCTGGGGGCCCACACCCTGCACCTCTCCCCTGGCTCCTGCTTCCCGGGACCTCGTCCTTGTTCCTGGATGTGTGACCAGGTCTTTTTCTCTGCTTTCTCTCCTTGGGCAGAATCACCAGGATCATCCTGAACGTGGGCGCTTTCCAGGGCAGCTCCCTGGAGGGTGTGGACCGGCAGCACTCTTGCTTCCTCTTCGGCTCTCCTTTTTCAAAATTATTGTGCAAGTTTAGCACTAAGGGTGGTGGCTTTGGAACTCAGGCACTTTTGGTTAAGTGGGTTTAGATTGGAGAATGAAATGCCCGGACCCTGTGTTACTTATTTATTAGCTGGTTTATCTTGCACACGTTTTTAGACAGATTTATTTAGTCATTGAATTACCACTCCAGAAACCTTTATGGAGAACATGCTCTCTTCTGAGTTCTTAAGATTCATATCCTAAGGTTTTCTCTTACAAAAGACTTTCAAAATAATCGATCTCTGTGGACTGGGAAAAAAATCTGTGGAAGCCGGTCACTGAAGGGATCTGCTTTGCAGAAGAGGCTAGGAACTCGCTGCCCGGGGAGCTTCAGAGGCACCGCAGTGCCCACAGGAGGAGGAGGGCGAAGCCCGTGGCCCGGTCCACACACACACATATACACACACACACACACACACACACACACACACCGTGCTTGAGAAGACCCAGGGCCGTGGGCTCAGGCAGCGGGAGAGCTGTGGTGTGCAGAGAGCCACATCCAGTCCTCAGGTGCACCTGTCATCTGTCATCTGTCGCTCATTCCTTTGAGATCTTATATTTTAATGTTTATATTTACATTACATTTGGGATATTTTATAATCCCACTGGAAGAAAGCTCTATTTTCTAAGGTGCGGTGCACCAGGCAATGTTGTTAGCATCTCTGTTTTCCCCTACATCCTGACTTTTCAGCGGGCACCTAGGGCCTCACCCATCCTAGGCGAGAATGCTGCAACCGGGCTCACCTCCAGTCCTCCTCATTCCTTTTGACCAGCCCTTGGGGTTAGCACATTAGATTACACTGTATGTGAGGCCTATGTCCCCAGCCAACCTACCCACTCACCGCCCAGGTTTCCCCCAGCCAGCCTACCCACTCACCGCCCAGGTTTCCCCCAGCCAGCCTACCCACTCACCACCCAGGTTTCACTCCCTACAGGTGAGGACGATCTCCCTCTTGTTTGTGGCATCATCTTATCACTGGGTCAGTTGACTTCAGGCTCTGAGAGCCCGCTAGCCGGCCCGGACACCCCACCTTCTTCACGGACTTCCTTCTGGGGGACATCTCAAGCTCCTGGGAGTCCGGGTTTGGCAAGGTCTGCTGTTCCTAGCGATCCGTGTGGGAGCTCTGCCTGGGAATCTTCTAACCTTTGCCGTCATTTGACGGAACATGAAGCCGTGGAGCTTGAGATATTCTTTATAGGCAATCTATCCCTTTTAGATTTTTTAAAAATTTTTATTTGTTCTACTTAGATGTACATGACAGTAGAGTGTATTTTGACATATTATACATATACGGAGCATAACTTCCCATTTCTGTGATTGTACATGATGTGGAGTTACACTGGTTGTGTGTTCATATATGAACATAGGAAAAATATGTCTGGTTCACTCTACTGTCTTCCTATTGCTATCCCTTCATTCCCCTTTGTCTAATTCAATGAATTTCTATTCTCCTCCTCCCTTTTATTGTGTATTAGCCTCCACATATCAGAGAGAACATTTGGCCTTTGGTTTTCTGCAACTGGTTTATTTCATTAGCACGATAGTCTCTGGTTCCATCTATTTACCTGCAAATGCCATAATTTTATTTGTCTTTATGACTGAGTAATACTCCACTGTGTATGTATACCACATTTTCTTTACCCATTCATCTGTTGAAGGGCACCTAGGTTGGTTCCATAGTTTAGTTACTGTGTATTGAGCTGCTATAAACATTGATGTGGCTACATTACTGCAGTATACTGATTTTAGGTCTTTTGTGTATATGCTGAGGAGTGGGATAACTAGGTCAAATGATGGTTCTATTCCTAGTTTTCTGAGGAATCTCCATATTGCTTTCCAGATTGGTTGCACCAAGTTGCAGTCCCACCAGCAATATGAGTATACCTTTTTCTCCACCATCTCATCAACATTTATTGTTACTTGAATTCTTTTTTGGGAGGAAGGTACCAGGGATTGAACTAAGGAGCC